ACGCGGCCACTGCTCCATGCTGCTCGAACACATGCATCAGTGGAGCCCACACTATTGCCTGATGCTTCACCCAATGATCCAGCTTTGCCTCGGGATGCCTCTAAGCTGAGCTGGTTTGCTTGCAAACACTGTGCATTCCACCCATACTCCAAACAGTTTCTCTGCCTATGATTTCCCAGGCTGGCCCAAGCGAACGCGAAGAGCAGTCTGAAGCTGGCAGGAGTTCTTTGCCTACTGCAAAAGCAAAGTCAAGGCCAAAAAGCAAGCCAAAAGCTAAGGCAAAGGCAAAGGTCAACCAGCCAAAGAAGAGGGCCCAGGAACCAAAAGGAAAGGCCCAGGCAAAAAAGAAGTCAGCCAAGAGGGCAAGGAGCAAGGACGATGTGCAGAAGCGGATGCATTCAGCGACTCGCTTGAAACACTTGCTTCTGTTTCAGTCCCTTTTGTTGAAAACTCTATTTTGATCTGCCGCTAAGATCTACAGTGTGGCATGTAGACCCACTAAAACCCATTGGATGAGGATCCAACTGGGTAGCACCAATGCGCAAAGAACTATACATGCTGGTACAGGGATTCTGCAGGGGCCCCTGAACCGGTCTCGGAATTTCTGTCGTAGTCACCTGAACCATAGCTTTTTGGCGAGTGCAAGCTGCAGTTGAGTCCCGGGGTCGGCGGCAGGGGCGGCAGCCCTTAAATATATATAGGCAGATCAGCTGTCCAGCAAGTCTAAGAGCTGCACAGCAACCAGCCCATGCTTGGTATGGCATTGAGGCATTTGGCTAAGGAGAGAGAAAGCTTCTTGCTCAACGGTGCAACAATGCTGCTGAAAGCTCAGCTCAGGCAGAACTGAAGCAGCCCTTGGGTGCTTGGTACGGGAGCTCGATAATACAAAGAAAAGCACATATCAAATCTGCGAATCACTGTCAACACAAATGCATGCTTGAATTTGATCATTTCGTCCATGGCCAGATGAACTACAGTTCAGGGTGGCTTGTGTGGTCTTTTCGCTAAATCTTGAGTCATGCATGCATCGATCTAATTGCTGGGAACAAGGCCCGAGAACTGGCATTGACACACAAGTGCTCAAGACCCAGGTGTGGTACATCACCTGCCACCAGCTGCGCGCCTTTGTTTCTTTCGACCCGAACTGAGCAACTGCACGGGTCTCATTCAGAGCAACATGGTGAGACCATACCAAGTTCATCCGCTGTGATGTCACGGACTGCCATGGCGCCGAGAGCTTTGCTGGGCACCTCTCAGATCTCCTGCAGCCAAGGGCGGTTCTCAACTTGAGCGGGTCTGCTCGCTTGGTTGGGGAAGGAGTGGAATGTCACCGAGCCAACGAAGAGGCTTGAAAAGCGGGAATCACTGTGTACAGAAACTTGGTGTCAATCCTATGGCAAGCTGCTGTGAGCATGGAGAACTCGTTCAATAGCATCAGAAGGCTTTTCTGACCTTCCAAGGACGCTCACGCTCACGACTTTCTTACGTGCAGGCATGAAGATAAGCAGCCCCAAGTTGTGAAAGGAGGGTTCCACTCAGGTGCCGAAGGAAACGTGAACAAACCCTTTTGTGCACACCAACTGCTCTACTGTGTGGACTGGCCAGGAAGCAAAGCATGCCACAAAAACTTTTTGCTGACGTTGAAAACGGATTCACCCCATTCGTCATACCTGCTCAGTAAAGAGCGGGCCTTTGTGCGGAAGGTTGAAAAAGGAACATTGTCCCGCATTTCAGATCTCAAAATGTCTGGCATGGTCAAATCGTGAGCCAATATGTTTGCCTGCCTAAGGCTTGATGGTGCCTCTGTTTCTCTACTTCTTGACCATGTCTCAAATTTTCAGACGGGTTTCGTCTGCTCTGCCGGGCTATGAGCACAACACGGTGAGACATAGTTGGAGGTGGCCAATCCAAAGGGGCAAAATAAGGAGCCAACGACTCTCAGCTTCCATGCCCATCCATCTTATAATGTACAATTTGTTCCTGCTGCCTTCGACTGTGAATTTCTCCCCTCAAACATGCTTTAAAAACTGGGCCAAGTGCACTTGTAGCACTTGTGCTACGTGTCATGATCCAGCACAGCTGGACGCCAGCAGTCAGGCTACTTGTGGCAAATTGCTCCTGGAAATGAGAGCCATAGGAACTGTCTCACAAGACTTGCATCTACAAGTGCCGCCAAATGTGCCGCTTGCGGCAGGCCAAGCTGAAGCCCTTTCTCCATTGCTGGTGACTGAAAATGCGTACAGTATCCCAAAAATGAAGCACTGAGCACCCAAAAAACGCCCAAAGGCCTTGTCAGTCTGTGCCAGCGGTCTGGGCAAGAGGCAGGATCACGCAATGGACGTGTGGCGTGGAGGTTCACATCCCTCAAGCCTTGTGCTATTTCTAGTTGGGTCTGGCTACTGGGTGAAGCAGTAGTGAGGTGAGGGTCATTGCGGGGTTCTCACTCTGGTCACTTGTGCTGCGTGTCGCATCACATGTGACATGTGGCACTACACATCTTCCAAAGAAGTTTATCTAAAACAACCACGTCATGACAAATGGCACGTGTTGAGACCTGATTGAAATATAAACAGGCTGGCAACAAACAAGCGACTCTGAAGACTCTTTGGGTCTGCATTGATGAGCGAAGTGTCGATTGTCACATAGCACTGATCACTGGCCTCCACATATTTCGCGAAGAAGTCTTTGAACTCGTTCAAGTCAACCTGACCAAGAATTCGCTTCCCACTCCGCTCTTGATATCTATCCACTAACTTGATTGCTCAAACATAAGCACAACTTGAGCAACCAAGTGTTCAAATGACATAGTCTTTTCAACATGCGCTTGGCCAAACGAGCAATCTATTTTTCGGATATTCCCGGACCGCCCTGCTGTTGCCTGTCCGTCATTGTTGGTGTCAGCCCTCCACCAAAGGGCTCCAATCTGCTGCTGGGTGATGTCGGGCACGTGTTTCAAAAGAAAAGTAGTGAAGACCTGGTGCATTTGCTTCAACTCTGCGCGCGGCACTTGGCACATACAAGAATGCATCCAAACGCATTATGCAAGTCAACCCCATGGCCCCATCACGTCCTACATCCGTGCACAACCGACACGCAGTTCTCTATGACTCTATGATCTAAGAATTGCAATTTCTCTGTGATCCAAGGCTTGCCATCGATGACAGGTCTGATAAGTTGAAGTCGCAAATGCCTACACACAAAGCATCACCAGCATCATGGGTATGGTGGGGTGGCGTGTGTGACGAGAAAATTGGCGTCACAAGCGACGCGAAAATCGGCGTCACAAGCGAAACCCTACTGATTCACCTTTACTGTCTCCCACCCTCCGACGGGGGCCAAGTTGCACGGTACACTCTCTGGTGGGGGTTCACAACAAACGCCACGTCGGCACTTCCGAAGCGTTCGAGGAAAAGTTGCACAAGTCAAAGTGAGAATATGTGAGGTAAACAATCAACTACCCGGTAACTACCCTTATTACATACGGTACCCCCCATTCCTCTTGCAGACGTGGCCACCATTGGGGAGATTGCTCCTGCTCCGGACCATCCTCCCAGGCTTCGGAAGAGCGCTGGAGGCGTCTCCTTGTTGGCCTTGCGGACCTGTAGGCCGGCCACGGGAGGCGTCTCATGACAACACACGTGACCACACGTCATACCTTGGCCAATGAACCGGGCTGGGCCACTGGGACAAGGCGACGCAACAATAATCTCTCAATCATCCACTTGCACCTCATTTACTAGAATCTTTGTCTCCCGCCTTGTTCAGTATCACCTTCAGCTGCTCGTCCTGAGACATAGCCTTAGCAGTCAACAAAGCTCCTGCAGTCCTACCCTCTTTTCGGAGCTTCTTGTGCCATTTAGCATCGTCCAAGACGCAGGATCAGCTTTGGCCTTGGGCTTCGCTGTAGATTTTGCCTTGGCCGCTGCCTGGGAGTTGAAGCTCAGGCGCCTCAGTACCACAGCTTGGATGGATGCGATCACTTTTCGACAAACCGCAAACCGCGAAACCAAACCAAGACGTTTCACACAAATGGTGGACACATGGAACCTTGACAAGTCAGAACCGACCTGATAGATAGACACAGCGAAGCAATCAGAGTGTGTTGCATTTTGCGGCGCCCATTGTTTAGGAGGGGTTCGCGGGTAAAAGAACACATGACCGCTTTACAGTACATAGTTTCGTGGGCAGTTCATCCTAGGTTCGAACAACCTTCACAACAACGGTCTTCGCTTATTATTTGGTCCTACACATGTATCAGATACGAGCGCCACTGACAACTTGGACCAGTCTTTTCAAAAACCTTCACTCTTCCAGAACCAGTTGAATCAGTTGAATCTGCAAAACATACAGAGTGGAAGCCGAGCTCATCTGGTCGCCTCAAATTCGGAACAATAGCTGATAGCTCAATCCAGCATCCGGACACATCTTGGAAGCTCCACTCGCCGAAGTGGGCCCAACGAGGGGTCGATCACCACTATCAAAACTGTACAAGGTCTGAAATGGCTTTGAGGCGGCTAGTCAGCTTCGTCATTTCAAGGTAGCTCCACGTTGTTTTCCTTGTTCCACTAGGTTCCGCTGAAGCTTTTTGGAGCGTATGGACTGTACATGCCTCACATGTCTTGCCAGACATGTCCAGTGCAAGCCAGGCACTTGCTCAAGGAGGAAAGCATCCTGGCATGTTTCAAGTCCCATGAATGGCCCTTGTCCAAGAGCTGGCTACGGGTTGGCAAATAGCTTGCATGTGGGCTTCTCTCCATATCTCTCTTTCTCTCTCTCTCTCTCTCTCTCTCTCTGGGCCTGGGCGAACTTACCTCAACGCAAGTGCCTGTGCCTCAAATGTCGCGGACCCTCGACCATCAGCAGAGCCCTGCCTTGTGGCAGCCTTGGCCTTTTCAGTGTCGCCCTTGAAGTCATTCATGAACCTGAGTCGGAGAGACTGGGTTCATGGCATGCGCGCCTCGATTGGGACAAGTTATGTCGATTGTCGATTGTGCCATGCCCCTGCCCTTCCACCAAAAATATAAATGACACCACCGTAGACCCCAAACAGTTTGTGTTTTTCAATATCGGAACACTCTGCAACTAGAGCTTGCGACGTCCAGAGCTGGAAGACAAAGGATTGCAAGGCAGAGGCGGCCACAGCAGTCCAGAGCTGGGAGACAAATGTAGACACAGGGAGACAACTGTAAAGGATTGCAAGCGACATGCAGCCCAGAGCTGGGTTGCAAGGCAGAGGCGGATATAGCAGTCTAGAGCTGGGAGACAAATGCAAAGGCTTGCGAGGACACATGTAAAGGATTGCAAGGCAGAGGCGGACACAGCAGCCCAGCGCGGCGAGACAAATGTAAAGGATTGCAAGGCAGAGGCGGACACAGCAGCCCAGAGCTGGGAGACAAATGTAGACACAGGGAGACAAATGTAAAGGATTGCAGGGCAGAGCAGCTGGGAGACAAATGTGAAGGATTGCAAGCGAGAGGGGGAGAGAGGAGGCAAATGTAAAGGAAAGAAGGAAGACAAGGCGGACACAATGACCAACAAGAAGGGGGACAACAAGGGAGACAAGAAGGGAGACAAAAGGAAGCAGAAGGGAGACAAGACGGACACAGTGCCCAACAAGAAGGGAAACCAGACCAGAGACAAAGGGAGACAGAAGGGAGACAAGGCGGACACAATGACCAACAAGAAGGGAGACAAAAGGAAACAGAAGAGAGACAAGACCGGAGGCAAAGGGAGACAGAAGGGAGACATGCGGACACAATGAAGGGAGACAAGAAGGCAGACGGACACAATGACCAACAAAAAGGGAAACAAGAAGGGAGACAAAAGGAAACAGAAGGGGGACAAGGCGGACACAGTGACCCACAAGAAGGGAGACAAGACCGGAGACAAAGGGAGGCAGAAGGGACGAGGCGGACACAATGACCAACAAGAGGGACAAAAAGGAGACAAGACAAAAGATAACAGAAGGGAGACAAGACGGACACAATGATCAACAAGAAGGGAGACAAGAAGGGAGACAAAAGGAAACAGAAGGGAGACAAGACGGACACAATCACCCACAAGAAGGGAGACAAGACCGGAGACAAAGAAAGAATGAAGGGAGACAAGGTGGACACAGTGACCAACAAGAAGGGAGACAAGAAGGGAGACAAAAGGAAACAGAAGGGAGACCAGGCGGACACAATGACCAACAAGAAAGGGGACACAGTGACCAACAAGAAGGGAGACCAAGGGAGACAAGCCGGACGGAAGGCGGACACGCTGTCTGGCAGCAAGGCGGACACTCTTAGAAAGCATTTAGAACCCCTAACAGTAGCCTGTTTGGGGAAGTACAGAAATCACCTGGGAGACAAATGAATGGAAATGCTGGAAAGTGGAAAAGGGCGGATGCCAGCAGTGCAGGCACCGAACCTGGAAAACAAAAGTAAACAAACCACATGGGAAACAAATTAATAGAAATGCTGCATGGCCAGCGGAAAAGGGCGGACACCAGCAGTGCAGGCACCGAACCTGGGAGACAAAAGTAAAGAAGTGAGGCAAATCTTTTTTCATAGGCATGGGGCTGTTGGAGGGATGGTTCACAAGGTCTCGCTCATGAGGTAAAACGTTGTGAACATGTAAGACACACGAACAGCAATGACACAGCCAACCTTAGCTCGTGAATCTGTTGAGTCTATTGCATCGTATCCCAAAACCTCCACGGAGGAGTTGAACCAAAGTGGATGCCATAAGAGGTGTCCAAGAGGTGTCCGTCCCCGAGGCGTCCCGCGGGGAGTTGAACCAGCAGTGACAGAAAGGGCGGACACATCTTAAGAAAGAATTGAGAAACCCCACGGAACGGCAAACTGCTTGGGGAATGAATAGAAATGTTGCATCGCCAACGGAAAAGGGCGGACACCAGCAGCGACAGACCTGGGAGACAAATGAATAGAGATGCTACATGGGCCAGCGGAAAAGGGCGGACGCCAGCAGTGACAGACCTGGGAGACAAATGAATAGAAATGCTAGATGGCCAGGGGTGGACACCACCAGTGACAGACCTGCGAGACAGATGAATAGAAATGCTACATGGCCAGCGGAAAAGGGCGGACACCAGCAGCGACAGACCTCAACTGCATAGAAATGACAGTGACAGACCTGGGAGACAAATGAATACAAATGCTACATGACCGGCGGAAAAGGGCAAACAGAAGTGACAGACCAGGGAGACAAATGAATAGAAATGTTACATGGCCAGCGGAAAAGGGCGGACACCAGCAGTGACAGACCTGGGAGACAAATGAATAGACATGCTACATGGCCAACAGAAAAGAGCTGACACCAAGCAGCGACAGACCTGGTAGACAAATGAATAGAAATGCTACATGGCCAGCGGAAAAGGGCGGACACAAGCAGCGACAGACCTGGGAGACAAATGAATAGAAATGCTACATGGCCAGCGGAAAAGGCGGACACCAGCAGTGACAGACCTGGGAGACAAATGAATAGAATGCTACAAGGCCAGCGGAAAAGGGCGGACACCAGCAGTGACAGACCTGGGAGACAAATGAATAGAAA